TATATAATTCAACCGTTTCAGCTTAAGCGAAAGTTTTCTAGTTCCTTCGAATTGTCAATCCACTAACCAAAGCTATGCGGAAATTATTTGCCATGAATTTATTTATTCACTCAAACTAAATTCGAGATTCGGCTATGGCTTCAATGATGACAACTCAAAAGCGTTTACACAACTTTTCCAGCTGTTGGCCAAGTTTTCTTTGGTGGAGTTGCCGTTACACTCGATTGCATGCAAAAATAATGACAAATTATCTCCATCCGAAGCATATCTAGCAGCCCCAGGGAGTGTTTAGTACGTGTTGCTAGACCACTTTTTAGCACATTCCGAATGGCAGCAGAGTTATGAACATTTCTGTGGCATACTTATTCGGGCACATTTTATGAACATGTAAATGGAATATTTGAGCCAAGTTTTACAGCACGCCATTCGCACTGAATGCCAGCAACTGAATATTTCAAACTTGGCAATGAAATATGAATAAATATGAATTCATTTGTTAAATGAGCATATAATTATGCTGTGAATAAAACTGGAATATATTCATTTATAAGTATTTTTTTTTTCTGTATATTTTTAGTTGTTATATCATCAAGTCATATTTTGGAATATGCTAACCTTGAAACTCTTTTTGAATTTGTTAAAAAGTCTGCGAAAAGCTGAGCATAAGTTAGAGCGAGATGGATAGATCAAATGCAGGACAGCTGCTCAGTGAAGTCAAATCCAATTGGGATTCATATTCCAATTGGGGAATACTGAGTATAGTGTCCGAGGAGCAAGTGTCTAAGTTAGAGCGAGAAAGGGAGAGGAAATGATGCGGCGCTGCTGCATAAATTCAAATCAGAGTCCAGAACAGAGTAAATATGTCAAAGTTAAAGTTAGAGCGAGAGGGAGAGAGAAGCTTAAACTGTTATGGGAATTCGAATTCGAATATGTAAATATTAGGATTCTAGTTTAGTATAATATGAAATCTGTTTTGATAAATCCCATTAGCCTCGAAAGTAACATAAGAAGATAAAAAATATTTTGTAAACATATATTTTTAGCAACTCTCTCTTTGAAGGCTTTAGAAAATTGAATGGTTGCTCTACTGCTTATATTGTAACTAGGTTAGA